TTTCAAGGAATTGAATAAAGCTTTCCCTACAGCACACAGTTATCTTGTAATTGATGGAGTTGGCAAGATCAGATGTTTTTCCTTGAAGTGGAACCACCAGTTCTAAAGATTTTCCTCTGGTTTGCTTGAATTATCTGTCGTTGGCCTTCATTGAATCATTGTCTGTGCTTATTATGCATTTTATCAGAATAAACTGTTTCTTGGTCTTTGCCAGTGTCCCAGTTGACTTGGAAATGAGAGGGGAGGGAGACATTTACTGAACACCTGCTCTGTCGGCTAGGCACTGCCTGGGCTTCTTTACATTTCATGCTTATATGAAACCTGAGACCAGAGCATTAGTCACTTACAGTGTGAAGCAAAGCTAGGATATGAAGCCAAGTCTCTGATTCTAAACGTGATGCTCTCTTTCAGAGGTTGGATATGATCCTTTATATGTCTACTCTAGCCAGCTCCTGTGGATGAGACTCTAGGAGTCAGCTCAGAAAACATCTCTATGGTCAGTTGATCTGGTCATTAAAAATATAGGACATCATTTGCTCACCACAGGTCAGGAGGTTGATGGTGTTACTGCCATCCTCCAGGTGAGGGGCCAGATTTAGAGCAGTTCAGTGATTTTTCGGAGTTTTGATGTGGTTTTGTGGCTTAATGCGCTGGACTGAAGTCGTTTGAACAGCAAGGTTGGCGGTTCAAGCTCACCAGCCACTCCTTGGAAACCCTATACAGGGTCACTATGGGTTGGAACCTACTAGATGGCACTTAACAAGTGACTTTTCAGTTCTGCATGATTCCAACTTCCATGATTTGGTTACTGTGCCACACTGACCTTTCAGAATGAAGTGGGGAGAGCTAGACTCTAGGGCCTAGCCTAGTGTTTCCATGTAGGACTTTCTTCCCAGGGTTTCTCAGATATGTGACTTTTGAATCCTAATCCCTAGAAAAACCAGTTGAAGGAATAGAAATAAGTATAATTATCTTGTGAATACTAAAGCCTAATAGTATAGAAAGGTTACTGGTTTGAAGGAATCTTCATCACATGAAAAAACAAGAGCAGGAAACACAGATGAGTGGAGTTGAAGTTTAAGGGAGCCAGGACAGGCGCAGGTAGGAGAGAAATGGCCGCCATCTATTCAGCCTTCCTGGTAGTAGTTGTGTGTTGTGCTCCCATCTCCTGCTAACGGAGTCACTCTTACAAATAAGTTTATAAAGTACTCTGTACAAATCCTGAGTGGTTTCCCAAGAAACAAGCTTTGGAAGCAAAATAAATTAAGCTGGTGATTTTGACATGTGAATCTGTGTAGTACTGTTATTCTTGCTAGGGTAAATTTGAATGCCAGGTTGTTTGAATGCTATCCAATTAAGTTGCCTAGCATTTTCCAGTGTTTGAATATTCCCTGTGGGCTTCAGTTCTTTTTTAATATTGCCAAACTTAATATTTATTACACAATTTCTCTACTATATGATGACAAAAGAGTATGAAAAATGTTGGAAGTATTTTAAAGAATAACTTCTGCTTTTAGCAATCTGATCATTCTCATTTCTTGCTCCTAAACTCCAAAGATGGAGTCCTGGTGTGGCACTGTAGGGTAAGCAATGGATGGCAAGATAGGTTTGAATTGCAAGGTTGGCAGTTCAAACACATTAGCAGCTCATCAGAACCTCTACATAGGGTCACTATGAGTTGTAACCAACTTGATGGCACTTAACAAATGCCAAAGCTGGAGTCCAAATGTAACAATTGTGAGGATGGCTCAGGACCAGACAGTGTTTTCTTGTGTTTTGCACAGGGTCGCTGAGTCAGAACTGACTTGATGGTACCGAACAACAAAACTCCAAAGATAAAATATTTGTGGTGAATCTGTAAATTACTAACTTGGACCCACGGAGTCCTGATGTGGTGCTGTAAGATAAGCACTGGACTGTTAACCACAGGTTGGTGAGAGAAGCCCACCAGATGCTCCTTAGGAACCCTATACAGGGTCACTATGAGTCAGAACCAGCTCAACAGCACTTAATCTAGACCAGAGAGGCATTCTTGGGCCCAGGTAGGCTCACTGACCTCAGGAGGGTCTGTAATCACTGACTAGAGTCAAGACCAGGACATGGGTCTCTTCACACCTAGTGCCTTTCACTTGTTACTCTATTACATTGATTTCAACCCAGATAATTCTTCCAGACTGTCACTGTTTTTGCTCAAGGTTGAAGCAAAATGATCAATGGGAAAAGCTGTGAGCCACAGTTAAAAGTTTCTTAGAGCAGACATGAATACAATGAAGCCCTTCAGTGGAACCTACACTTTACTCCTACAACTATAGAACTCAACTGAACCCATGCCTTTCACCTCCCTGTGTTGGTTAAGTGCCATTGAGTTGATTCTGAGGAGAGACTGGTAAGTTTGAACGGTCCACCTTGTGGTTCGAACCAACTTTGTGGTCTTGTGATTATCCTACAGTGCCACACCAAGACACGTGATCTTATTCCTCCTCGATTACATCCAGTTCTCTCTACAATGCCCTAAATTTGCAGAAGTCGATTTTACATATGACTCCCTTATGTGTGTATGTGAAGGATTCCCTCCCAACAACCTGAGGAACCAGACATAAAGATTATAAGTGCCATTGGAAGGCAAAGGAACAAAAACTAAGGAGCCTGGCCAAAGCAATACAGGTTATACTTCACAAAGCCAGGCCTGAAACTCAGGTCAAATTTCTGTAGCTGTGTGTCTGTGTATACTGAGTAAAGTTGTTTGGCCTCTGTACTTTCGTATTGTAGTAGGGTCAGTTTCTCAGTTCATTTCCCATCTTTTACCTGGATGGCCCTCAGCCCCTGTTTTTTGCCTCCATGGGTAAGGTACAATAAAAAAGCGATTCAAAAACAAAAGATTCAACATCCTTTGTGGTGTAAGGGTGAGAAGACTGCTGAGAATGTGGTGGGCCTGAGGAGGCGGCTGACCAGAGGGAGGATGCAGTGCGCCATTCCTCCTCAGCTTCCAGGAACCAGAGCCAAGCTCTAGTTATCCAGCAGCAGGTGACTCACTAGGGCGAAGGTAGACAGTTTTTCAGAGCTTTTAAATTGCACATCAGACATGTTAATTATAACTTTAATATAACAATTGTTATTAAAAGCAGCAACTCAAACCATAAATCTTTCAGAAGGTGCACAGGGTTGTAAGACCAGTTGATAGTAATGCAGCTCTTATCTGGTATGAATCAAATGCTGAGGTGGGGAGTCACAGGGGCCTTACTAAGCCTTATGCTGATTCGTGCCCCCTTCCTCAAGCCCAGAGAGAAGGTACAGATGCAACAGACCCTGCTCCTCCGAGGCTTCCTCTGAAACCCAGAAAACAGGCCTGGGAGGTTGCTGTGCTCTCTGAAGTCAAACAGAAAGCTACAGATAGGATCCCGGGTGCCACCCCTTGCTGGGCTGGGGCTATCTATCCGCAGTCTGGGGCTTGAGTGGCAGCAGCTGTGGGCTTCAGAAGGGCAAGAGCTGTGCTTAACCACAGCCTATCCTAGCCTGGGCTATGCCAAGGAAGCAGGGGAAATGCTAGGCTGTGCCCAGAAGACAGGATCCTGTGTGAAAGGCACTGAAGGAGCTAAGATTGAGGCAGGGGCATCTGAACTATCTCAGGGACCCCCTAAGGAGAGGGTCAGGCCCAGTAATGGACAATCCAGTTTCTCAAGCCTGCTCCACACTCCTTCCTCTCACTGCTCCATCTCCCCACCCTCCCCCTCTTCCATTTGGCAGCCTGCAAACCCCACCAAGCTGGAGGCCACAGCAGCAGTCAGTAAGACTGGTCCTTATCTGGTATACCCCCTTCTCCATTCAAGGCACTTCTTTCTGTTCTCCAATCAAGTGAGTCAGTTTCTAATTATCTCTGGAAGCAGCAAGAATAAGGGTCCCCTCCCTCCCTTCCCATTTTTGGTTTTCCTCCACATGGGACCAAGTTTCTATGTCAGTTCTAAGAATTCTATTTACACTCCCACTAACAAAGGCTTCCCTTTGCGGGGACTGAAAGATGCGGGCCTTTAAAAAATCCCATCCTATCCCACCCATAAGTGATTGTCAGTTTTAGGATAAGGCAGGAGAATCCTATGCTTCCTTATGGGGCAAAAGTAGGTTCATGGGCTGAAAAAGGACCAGGAACTAGGCTTTCACAGTTGCAGCAGGCAGCCCTTGGAAAAGGGCCAAGGGAAAGCCAAGGGCAGGAGCCAGGCTGGCACTAGGAGGAATGGGTGTGTATGGTTACAGCCCTGAAAGATGGGACTGAATGTGTGTACCTGGATGTAGGTAGGGGTGAGGTCCATGCCTGGAGGATGAAAGCACATGTGGAGATGAGCTGATGTGTTACTGTGTTGTGGGATCTGGAGAGGAGCAGGAAACAGTTCCTTTCCTCCTTTCCCGAGCCTGCCCTGCCTGTTGCTAGGTTTTCAATGATGCCTTCTTTCAACAACAAGGCCAGGCAACTAAGGAGAAGTTACTTGTAACCTTCACTTTCAGCCTTAATCACTGGGGCCTGGGTCTGGGACCTTCTAAGGCAGAACGCCAGCCTGTTCACTCTGCAGACCCTTGGCGTCCCCCAGGGTCTTGTGCTACACAGGCTTTCACAGGCCGTCTCCCCCACTCCCACCATCTCTTCCTAAGGGCAGCAGGGAATGGCAGGAAAGTGGGAGAGGAAAGTTGAGGCATCCTCTTTGAGAAGACTGGCTGCCCCATGGGTCAAGTGTGAAGGGCAACCAGTGGAGGGCCTACTGTGTACACATAGGGTGTGTAAACATATTACATACCTAAAGGGGTTAGTCAGGTGAAGGGAAGAGCCTTGGGGACAAAGAATCAGGCTTTAAGATACAGGGAGCATAGATGCAGAGGTACAGATGCAAGAGTTTGAGGGAGAGGAGTCAGGATGTGGCAACAGGAAGAAACAGCCAGAGGACCTTAAAGACAGGTGTGTGTGTGGGGGGGGGGGGGGGAGGGGGGCAGCGATGAGCCTGTAGAGGCTCCAGGGCAGGGCCTCTAGAAACCTGGAGCTCTGCCCTGCTTTCCTCCCCATCCAGCCTGGAGAAAAAGGGAGAAAGATTGGGGGGGTGGGGGGAGGCGGTGCGCTGAGGCTTCTGCTGTCCCTCCTCTGGTTTCCTGGGCTCCTGGCATGCTCTGAGGGTTGGTCAGTAAGGGGTGGTCCCTTCCCACTCCACCAAGTACTGAACCTTGCCGTCTAGTGTGACCCTCCGAGCCAACACCTGGTACTTCTCCCCACAAGCTAGCCGCCCAGCTGCACCAAAGTAGTTGGTGATAGATGACTTGAGGTGGGACAAGGACGAGTCGTCTTCACTGATGCTCTCAAAGGTGTGGCTGTCGATGCCGTCATCTGGCCGCTCAGGGCCTGAAGCCCCCTCTGCACTGCTGTCTGAGGGGCAGCGCCCACCCAGCTCAGCTGCCCTCCGCTTTGCCCGCAGTGGCATGTACACTTTGGCTGCCAGCTTCCTCTTGCGGCTGCCCACTGTCCGCCTATACCAAGAAGGGGGAGAGGAAGATGGTGGGAATGAGCGTGGGTAATCCTAATGCCAAGCTTCTTGGCATGGATTATCTAGCTGGATCTTCACAACAGCCCTGGGAGGGGAAACGGCTCAGCAGCATCTGGGGAGAGTGAGAGCCACGGTTCAAACCCAGGTGTGCCCAAATGTAAAGCAGGTGCTTTTTATATTCAGGGTCTTGGCACTGTGCAGTTCCAGGGCTCCTGAAGCTGAGCTTATACTGTCTTGTCCCACAGCAGGGATCATTTGTAACTAAAGGAGCCAAGGGTGGGGAGGGGAGCGAGGGAACTTGTACCCCAGGGTCTGGTTGGAGACAGGCAGGCAGAGTCAGACGGGATAAAGGGACATAAAGGAGAGCTACACATTCAGACGCTTAGAAATGCCAGCGAGCCAGGGAGGACCATAAAAACAATGAAAATACATAGAGGCAACCACAAAGACGCCTAGACAGATGTGGTGCCAAAGAGAATCTTCCTAGACACAGCTTTACAGTAAGTGCTGTTGATCCATAGTGATCCTGTGTAGGGTTCTGAGGAGCAGCTGGTGGGTTTGAACCTTCAACCTTGTAGTTCAGATTGACCTTACAGACCAGTGCATTATCCTGCAACACCACACCAGGATTCCCAACCAGCGCTATAGGCATTATAATTTTAATTCTATGTTTGCAAGGGTCTCAATATCCTAAAACACAATTAGAGGAGCTTCCAAGTCGATAAGAATTTCCTGTGTGCTTTGCAGCCATCCCCCTTTCTCTATGCAGCTGAAGCCCAACAACTGCCAAGCGGATGGACTCAGCTAGGTCCCAGAGATTTCTGTCTCCCACCCAGATCCTAGTTCTGCAGGATGCCATCTCCCTCTCCATCATATCTCCAAAATAACAGCTCTAGAGAATCTGAAAGACATCAGATTTAGCAAAGAACCAAAAGGTCAAGGCTCCCCCCCCTACAGTCAAGAGAGGCACAGATGTGCAAAATCATGACACAGCCCAAAATGAAAGATCCTGGAAACAGAACCACCCAGCAAGAAGTTATCGCCCTGCCTCCTGCCGCATTCCAACGGGATGAAGTCACAGCACCCTGAATGCTCAGAGCTCCCATCTAAGCCCCAGTGATTGGAACCACAGGGTCCCAGAGTCAGGCTCATACAATCCCAGAAAGCCAGGATCCCCAGCCCAAGACTCAGATGTATAAATGAGCATGGTCACCGAAGAGTTGGAGGGGCTGTGGGGAATGATGATGGGACAGGCCACCAGGAAGCTCACCTGGAGTTATAGGAGAGGCTGGTGGAGGCGGAGCCAGAGGTGCTGGCAGCATCCGTGGAGTCTACATCTGAGAAGAAGGTCTGGCCTGAGCTGGCACTGGGGGAAGGAGAAGCAGGGAGGGTAAGCTTGCCTTCCACCTGGCCCAGAAAGGTCCTGCCACCCTGACCCTTGGGACATCTCCAGTCATCTCTACCCCTCTCAACATGCATCCTTCATCCAAGAGCTTCCTTCCCACCATCACACCAACAGTTGGTTGCCTCCTGCCTGCCTGTCCATTTTCTATGCATCCAGCCTTCAGATTACAAGGAGTCAAGGCCTTTCTGAGCCACTGGTGATGATAAAGATATACAACCCCAGGCACTCAGGCAACACTCCACAGATCAGAAGTGTTTTCATCTGCAGTATCTTGTTTGAGCCTCATAACCATGCGAAACAGAAGAGGTTCATAGGGGTTAAAGAACTGAGCTAAGGCCACACAGTAACAGCCCACAGGAAAGTGTTGGATGACCTTTCATTTGGGGAATCAAATGGCAAATCCAGCCCCTCCCAGGGGTGATGATGTCATTCCATTATGGTACACTGTGGTGAACACAGGGTATTCGAGGAGTTTTCAGATTGGAGAGGCAGGGCAATGGATGTTCCAGACAGAGAGCACAGCAAGAGCAAAGATGGGAGCTGAGGGGCCACTTCAGCAGCAGGGAGTTATGCTGGAAGCTCATGGAAAAGGACTCCTAAGACAGACCATTTTCACTGGGGAGTTCAGAATGAACCACTCCCCTCAGCAGCTTTCCTGCTTTGCCCCTGCCAGTCTTCCTTCATTCTTTGGGGAAGAGAGGTGGTCTTCTCTGGGTCCCTCATCGTTACCTTTTTAAACTCTGTATTTCGTCCAGTGTGAAATCAAATATGCTGGCCAAGTGGTGATTGGTGCTCCAGGCAGAGGTGAAGTCACTCTGTGGACAGAGGGAGAGGGAAGGGTCAGGCAGGGAGCACCCATCCCACCTCCCACAAGCACCCCTGCTTCGCAGCTGAAGGACACACAGCGGCCTGCTGCTCCAGGGCTGGATCCTCCCCAGGGTAAGGATGCTCCATAGTCCAAGTCTTGACTAGGAAGCCAAGTCACCCCAGTTCTCATTCTGTTTCTAACATCCTATGCCCTTTCCCTCCCGGCACCTGTTTCCTCAACAACAAAACAAGACCTCTGCCTGCTTCACTCTTACAGGTGGCAGGAAACACAGGAGAGTTAAGTAATGATGATCAAAGTGCCTTGTTAAGTGCCAGCACCTAAGAGTTAATGAAGAGTGTGTGCCAGGGGCCCTGGGTCCTAGAGGCTGGGCTAGCAACTGCTCAGATGTGTGAGCCTTCAGTTACATCACTGCACCTCCCCCTGGCTCAGTTTCCCCACCTGGACAGTGGAATCAAGAGCACTACCTGCCCTTGCCCACCCCTTTGGTTTCTTCAGAGAACTTGGATAAGTATGGAGTGCCTAACTTGCCCTTATTTCACGTACTAGGAGCTAGTTTCTCCTTTAAGGGATATGGGACAACCCTTGGGGGGCTGGGAGACGACTTTTTTTGGCAGGAGGAGGGATGGGAGGGGGTGGGGGCGTGGTGCTGACACAGGAATCCCTAATATGTACCAATCCTGACAGGTAAAAGTGGATAGAAAGAAAACAAGAAACTAACACTGGGAATAGCATCTTCCAGCAAAAACTTTGATCTTTTTCTTCTATAAACTCGCCTTTTCTGCTGCTGAAATTCGTGAGGCAACAAACTGCGGAGACAGAAGAGGGAGAGGGTGGCCCAGTCAGAGCCTGCTGGGGGCTGGGGGTGAGGGCATGGAGGAGCCTCAGGAACATCAGGGGTCGGGCTGGTGTTGCAGCTGTGGCGGGTGAAATGGGCTCTGACAATACCAGCACCCTCACAAGGAGACAGGGATGGGGTGGGGGGGAGGCAGTGGGTGTGGAGGAGGCCATGGTGAGCAGAAAGAGGAAGAAGGTACCTCCCCCTGGCATATGCGTCCAGTTGCCCTACATGCCGCCCATACACCCAGGATGAGGGGGCACACCTCAGAAGAGCTAGGGACCCCCTTACACAGATTTTCCCTTCACCTTGGACCTCCCTAGTCTAGCAACACTGGATCCCAAGATCTGGCTTTCCCTGAGCAAGGCAACAAGGGGACATGGTAGAAGGAATCTGGGATCAAGCCCCGCCTCAGCCACTGCCTGGTTGTCTCAGGATACCTCTCCAGCTGGGTTAGCTGGGTGCAGGCCGTCCTTGCTTATCTGGGCAGCCACCATACTCTCTGGGCCCACCACATGGCCCACCCACTGGGACTGGGAGCTAGGAGCAAAGAAACCGAGTTGAGCTGTGGCCATTGCCCCTGGGTTCCTGGGCACTGACCCCGACTTGTTCTTTCCTCTCTTGCGAAGCTCAGAGGAGGCACCGTTCTCGTTGGGCACCAGCCCCTTATCAGGCAACAGCTTCCCTGGTGGGTTGGGAGGAACTCGGATGCGCAGGCGGAAGATGCACTTCTTCTTCTTGATCTCCTTGCCGCAGAGGAACCTGAGGGTGGCCAGGGAGAAGAGAAAGCTCTGGAGTCTGTTGGTCCATCTGCTTGGTGACTGGGGTCAAGCATTTATTTAAACCACCCTCTCTAGCTCCCTGGACCCAAAGCTAAAATCCAGAGTGGCCTCAGGAGACTAACGCCCAAAGTCAATGGGATCAGGAGTGCCAGGTGGTAGCTGAGAATGTGACGGGAGCTCCTCCCTTCCTTCCTGCGTGTGTGTGGTTCTGGCTGTTCTCACCTCTACAGCAGGGCCCCGTCCAGCTCACAGTGGAACTCCTATGGTCCAGACACTGGACTCTACCCCATTCTGGTCCTGGTCTCCCTAAGGAGACTGAAAAGCATTCCAGGCACTTCACTCAGCCTTCTTGTGTGGCTGCTGAGGTGACCCAGACACAGCCCTACCCTCGGGGGAGTCACTGTCCACTGGGAAAGTAGTTGGTCTGATGCACTCAAAAACAGGGCTGTGTTTGGGCTCCAAGCCATGGGGTAGTATAAGAGGAAGTGGTTAATTTGGCTGGGAGATGTCTAGAACACAGAAGCAAGAACCCTATGGTGTCCTCAGCATTCAGCTTAGGGCCAGACTCAAAGCAGCAATTTGATACGAATGCAATGAATGAATAAAAGGGTCTGAGCATCTTAGGGCAAGGGAACACAACAGGGTCAAAAGCACTGAGATGGGAAAGAAAGGGGGTCAGTCTGGGTAGTAACCAGAACCAGCAAAGCAAAGGGGCAACAGGAGAAGATGTGGACAGGCTCTGATCATAAGGAGCCTGACCATTCCCTTGTGTTGGAGCAAGGGTGTGGTCAACTGAGTATTCTGAGAAGAACTCAGAAGAAACAGATTGGGGGACAAGTGAGGAAGCTGTGGGCCCACCTAGAGATGCTAAGTGCCTGGCCCAGAACCAAAGATGGCTAGAGCAGGAGGGGTCCTCAGAGATCATGGGGTGCAGCCTCATTTGGTGTTGAACCCAGTATTACAATGTGGCAGGCTGCTGGGGTAGTCAAGGGAGGCTTTGCAAAGCAGGTGGGATGTTCCCTGATCTTGAAGGATGTGAAGGATTTACATAATCAAAGAGAAGGGGATGTAGGGAGGGGACACAGCCTGGGCAAAGGCTTCTAGACAGGAAGAATCTTTAGACTGAAATTGCACCCTGTGGGGTGCCCTGTAGCACTCCCTCCCCTCCCTGCACACACCTGCTTTTGTAACTGTTCAGAGCGTTGAGGAGATGAGGTCCTCGATCCGTCACAGGGGTGCTGGTCAGCTAAGGGGGAGCAGGTCAGCAGGACAGAGTCAGACTCAGGCACATGGCCTCTGAGGTGGCCCCAGCCCCATCCGCTCCCGCCCTTCAACCTCTTGATGCTTCCCAGCCCTGCAGGCAAGAACCATGTGACTTAGTCTATGACCTGACACAGGTCTTTTCACCTCTCTGGAACTTGTTTCTGTTTGCAAATGGGAGGAATAACTCCTGTTGGATATATTGTTGTTGTTGTTAAGTGCCGTTGAGTTGGTTCCGACCCATCGCGACCCTAAACAGGGTTTCCGAGGCTGTAAATCTTTACGGGAGCAGAAAGCCTTATCTTTCTCCCGCGGAGCAGCTGGTAGTTTCGAACTGCTAACCATACAGTAACTTGATTCGTAACCACTACACTACCAGAGCTCCTGTTGGATATATTAGGAGTTTTAATTTCAAAGGTCCAGATCTTTGACCAAATTCTACTACTCTGTGGAACCTACCATTCAGAACTAACATGAAACATGAACAAAGCTTTATATACAAAGATGTTTACTGCAGCACTGGTTCTAATAGTGGGCAAATGAGAAGAAACTGGAGGGAAAGCCCACGAGTAAGGAAACAAACTACAGTGGAAAGCAATGTGGCCATAAATCAATCAAATAAAATGTTTAAGGAGATTCTGATAATAATGGAAATTTATGGCAAAATGTCAACTGAAAATAAATAAGATTTTAAATCATATACACAGTAGAATCTAACCCACAAAAGAGGAAAAATTTGCATAGAAGGAAGAATGGAAGAAACAGTACATAAACAGTAGTTTCTAAGTGTTGGAAACAATGACTTTTTTTAGTTTACTTCCTGAAACTTTTTAAAACCTACAGCCATGACGTCAATTCCAACTCCAAGCTTCTTAGGGTTTCTGAGATCGTAAACCTTAACAGGAGCAGACAGCCTGCCTCATCTTTCTCCTGAGGAGCAGCTGGTGGGTTTGAACCACTGACCTTACAGTTATCAGCCCAATGCTTAACTTATTACCCCACCAGGATTCTTTTATACTTTTTGATACTTTAAAATCTACCAAGAACATGAATCACTTTTTATAAATTAGGAAAAAGTTATTAAAAAATACCAGCTGTATCTGTTACGAATTTTAAAATAAATTATTAATCACTGTAAATGATATTATGTGAAAACCCTTGGCAAAGTATAAATCCTGTCTCATTCAAGGAGGCTGTGTGGTACTCAGTAGAACATGGGATGTGGTAGAAAGGATCCTGAGGGTGTCATGGACCCATCTTGGAAGCAACTGGAGAGGTCCTAGCTCCAGTTCCTGTGGAGCCCCAAAACTATGCCTGATAACAGGAAAGTGGCTTTCCCACTCTGACATCCTCAAAGCCTCGGACTTCACTACGCAGCTTCCAGGTCCCTGGTGACCCACTCCTGCTATTCAAACTAGGACCAGTAGGGGTCGGGCCCACTTCAGTTTCTATCCTAGCCAGGTGGTTAAATGCTGTCGAATCGGTTTCACACATGGTGACCCTGTTTAGGGTTTTGGAAGAGCAGCTGATGAGTTTGAACCGCCGACCCTTCGGTTCAAAAGAAACCTTGAAGTTGAGAGCTTATCCTACGGTGTCCCACCAGGACTTCTTTCTAGCCATGTAATCCTGAGAGTATATCAGTGACCATCTCAGTAATCCCTGCCCACTACCAAAAACCTGGGCTCAAGAAGCCGCGGGTAGAGCGCACGTTCAGAGGTTCTCAGACAGCGAAAGCTTAGATAGCTAGGTCCTAGTTATGCGCTGTGTGATCGAGGACAACCCCTCTGCCTCTCTGGCCCTCAGCAACCCCCACGCTCTCTTGTGCTACTCTGATGCCCTATGGCCCCTGCATACCTTGCCAAGCTGTAGGTGCTCCCAGTGGTGATTGACAAAGGCCAGGATCTCCTCAAAGTCAAAGTACTTCTTCTTGCTCTGTACTCCCAGGTTGTAGAGGGCTAGGTGAACCACATCCACCCTGGGCAAGAAGGCAAGGAGGTGGGTGGAGTGAGGCAAGGCAAGTGCTAGACCAGTCAGGGCTGGTTCCAGCTGAGGGTCAGAGCAAAGCTAGGACCAGGTGGCTGGAATGGAATTGTTCCCAGAGGTAGGTGGGGGGTGGAGGAGGAACTGGGAGGAGGCAAAGGAGGGGGGGCTTGGCCAAGTCCCACCCTCTCACCATCGCAGGGGCAGCCTCTCGATGTACTCTGGGCCCTGGTTACACACGGAGCAGAAGAACAGGTAGAACCTGTGGGCGTGTGGAGAGGGGACCTGTGGTGGGAGAGGCTCTGACACCCCTCCTCCCCACACCTGCCTTCCCCAAGTCAGCATTCTCACTCCTGGGGCTGGTGGCCCTGGAGGAGGGGGACAAGGATGGAACAAGATGGATCAAGGACTATCCCTCCATCTCTAACCCCCTTTCCCAAACATCATTGCCCTGGAGTGTGGCTGAGCTAGACCAGTCTGCAGAGGTCACCTCTTCTCCCCCCCCCATGAGACATTCACACAATCACAACCAACACAAGATGGGACAGTAACCAAATGTCACACGTAATGCCAGACTGGCTTAGTCCCATTGGATAGAAGTGCAGTCATAGTATCCATTTCTCCACTGGCTCCTACAACAACCCTGGGCAGGGATGGGGCAAGTCCTGTGCTAACCCCCACCCCCTGATGTGTGTACACACACACACACAGGAGAAGAAAGAAACTGAGGCTTAGGGAGGGCAGGGACTTATCTAAGGTACCCCAGAGTCAATGGCAAGTGGAATGTGGCCTAGCTTGTTCCTCTCCTGCCTCCTAGCTCAGCCCATATGGGGATGCCCCCCAATGAGCTGACTCTCAGATAGGTGCACACCAACAAAGCTGCCCATGGGACAGGCAATCTGGAGGAGGTGCAGCTGTTACCCCCCTACCTAAGGCAGCTCCTTCCACAGCTGTGCTCACTCAGATTAGTACCAGTACCTACCGGTCACCAAACATCATGGGTTCATTGAGGCACTGGGTGCAGGCTTCATGGAACCACTGTCTGCAGCGGAAGCATTGCAGCATCCGCAGGTACCATCTAAGGAAACAGGAGCCCGAGTCAGCTTAGTTCTCAACAATAGGGTTTGGGGCTGAGATTTAGGAAGGGGTAAGGGGCTCGGAAACCCTGTACAGGGTCGCTATGGGTCAGAACCGACTCAATGGCACTTAACAACAACAACAAGGGGTAAGGGGGGCTGAGATTCAGGAGAGGGGGTGGGGAGGGAGAGAGAGAAAGGGTCCAGAAGGTGAGTTTCCTGAGGACAGAGATTCTATCTCTTCTGTGGCGCCTCCCACAATGCCTGGTGCAAAGGCCAACTAGCCCAAGGGAGTAGGCTCAACTACCTAAGGCTGTGTATCTCCCTGGAGGCCCAGGTCAGCAAAGAACCAGAGTCGCTCCACCAAGCCAGGGTAAGCACAACACTTGTCCTCCCGGAAGAAGACTCACATTTACCATGCACTCAGGCTATGCCTGGGGAGGTGCTAGGGGCACAGCATATGCTATCTCATTAAATCACACCATCTGGTAAAAGATGGGCCACTGCGCCCATTTTACAGATGAATCAGATGAATCGCCCATTTTACAGATGAATCGGTAGCTAAACAATGTGCTCAGAAGGCGCTCAGAAAATAAGGAGAGGTTGGTGATTAAAATCCTGGTCTAACTTCAAAGTCCAGGCTCTTTTCTACCATGCCACATGGGAGAGCCTGCCCTATTTCTGAATTGTACCCCACACACTGCTCCTCAAACACCACTGACAGGGAAAGATTGGCTTAGGAACCTTCATGGAGAATAATGGCTCCAGTAAACCCCACAGGGGACAGGGACCAGATCTGGGTTTTCTCACTGGCTATTGTGCCTACCCTGGTACTGTAGCCAAACCCAAACAGTGGACCCGCTGCCACTGAGGAGATTCTGACTCATAGTGAGGGTTTCTGACAAGGCAGATCTTTACGGGAGCAGACAGCTTCAGCTTTCTCCAGAGGAGGGGCTGGTAGGTTTGGGCCTCCAACCTTGAGCTTAGCAGCAGAACACCTAACCTACAACAATACCAGGACTCTTTGTATTGTAACCATTCAACAGCTCACTGAATATTCATTTAGAAGACAAAAGCAATTCCTTAACAAAGATCAGTAAATACTTTGTTCATACTTTGTCAGGTGTGCGCCATCTGACACCTGCATCAGAATCACCTGGGTGGAGGTAGGGGCTGTCTAGGTTAATGCAGATTCCTTGGCCCACCCCAGATTTACTCTTTTTGGGTGAACCTGGGGAAATGCATTTTAAATAATCACCTTTAATCTTCCCTTTAAGTGCTCAGAATCACTGCCTTACTGCTAATATAGGTTTCCACCTTTATTTACTACTAATAAAGTTTTCCACAGCATTTCCATCAGTTATCCCCTAGGCCTCCCAATATCCCCAGGAGCCTGTGAGTTGGTGGAATCACCCTTTGAGAGACGTGGCTGTAAGCACAGCCTCAGACCCCTAGTTCTCAGCAATAGGGCTTGGGGCTGAGATTCAGAAATGGGGAAGGGCGGAGAAACTGTCTGGAAGGCTGTTTCCTGAGGACACAGATTCCCATCTCTTATTTCTATGGCTTCTCCCACAATGCAAAGTGCAAAGCGAACAGGCTCAACTACCTATCTACCTATGGCTGTCTAACTCCCCAGAGGCCCAGGCTAGCAAAAAAGAACCAAAGATTCTTTCCCCCTAGCCAGGGTAAGCACCCCCTATCACAGAACCAGCAAGGGATGACGCCCCCCACCCACAGCTTCTGCTTGCAAAACTCCAGAGAAGAGGATCTTAATATCTCACCAGGTAACCTATTTCACTGGCTGACCGTGAAAGTGATTTATCTTCCATTCACTAGTGCCGCTGCCAGTAACAGTTCACACTACTAAACACTATGTGCCGAATGTTGTGAGCCTTTTACATGGATGATAAAATTCATACTCAAAACCACCACATGACAAGAGAACTATCAGAGTTGATGACCAAGGAAATTAACTAGTTCGGGGCTGGACAGCTGGTAAGGGGCAGAGCATGATTTGAACATCTAGGCGGGTAAACAGACAGGTCCAGACTCTTAACCACACCTCAATACTTGCTCCTTTCTCACCTGGGACCCAGGTACACACCTCGGTCCCACCTCCGTTGCCCCGCCCCCTCAGCCCCTACCCCGTGGATCGAAACTCCCGGGCTTGCCCCGCCTCCCTGGGAGCTTCTTCCGGGTAGTTAGATCTTCCGGGCGGGCCCGCGGCTTGAGGCCCCGCCCATGAGACCTGACCCTCCAGATCCGCCCTCGAGACCTCGCCCCAGTGGCCTTACTCTCCAGGCCCGCCGCAGTAACAGTAGCATTGCTGCTGGTTAGTGCGGTGGGGTGAGTCCCACTCCAGTTCTTCCGGCCGGTAACACAGCACCATCTTCACAGCCTGCAGCGTCCTGGCGATGGCGCCCTTCTTCAGCGCGCCGCCTTTCTGGGGGAGATGAGGGCTCGGGGTCATCGCAAGATGCCAGTTGGGACACATGTTGTCAGCACTTGCTGACCAGTGTTTGGACCTACTGACACTCCCATACAGTTGAGAAAAGAGCTTTTCCTCACCAATCTCGAACCCATCAACTCTACTACAAAAGGGTCTCCATTAATTTAATGGTATTAATAATAAAAAGCACAACAAAAGGAACGTTAACATCCATTATATAGGGGTGTGGGCACTTAAATGGATTTTCACTTAATACTCCAGTTATTGGAGAAGTGGTTAATGGTTATTGTGCCCAGCTGCTAACTAAAAGGTTGAATGTTCAAGTCCACCAGAGGTGTCTTCGTAAAGTAGGTCTGGTGATCTACTGATGAAAAATCAACCTTGAAAACCCTATGTAGCACATTGCTACTCTGGCAGACACAGTCACCATGAGTTGAAACTCAATAAGAAAGTAACTGCTTACCAAGTATTGGAGGCCTCCTACTCCTGACACCAAACCTATGCCCATTTTACAGCTGAGGACACTTGAGGCTCAGGGAGGCACAGCTGGTACCAGAGCCCAGGTGTGGCCCTTCTGCTTGGCGCTCAGACTCTGCCATGGAAAGTCAGAGTCCAGGGAGTCTTCTGGGCTTCTTCATTGGAGGAGAAGGAGAAAGGGACTGGGAAGGACGAAGGAGTACTCACCCGTACAGCCAGTGCGAAGATGCAGCGTCGGCAGAACCAGGGTGTGAGTAGGGGTTGGTCGGTGCTACCTGCTATGGGGATATGGCACTGCTGGTGGTAACCTATGGCAGAGGAGGTGGTGGTGAGTGACCACAAGGAAGCAGTTGCCAAAGGTCATTCAACCCAAAGGTGACATGGCTGAGGAGGGCTGTAGCTAGAAACTGTGCTAGAAATGCTGGAAATTGTGCCTGCCAGCTGCTGAGGGAATGGCTGGCGATGTCCACCAAGATATCTTGGTCAAGCTAGTGTCCAGGAAAAGACTGAAAATAAACATCATTCCAGTGGAAGCACCAAAGTCAGCCTGTGTCTCCCATCATGCTCTCCACCTGGGGGTGGGGTGGGGTGGGGTGGGGTGGGGGGGGTCCCAAACTGCATACCTCGTTTTACTTTCCAAAGGCCCTCAACTCCCAGACCCATGATCTTGAAGCTCCAACAGAAACATGAAACCAGCTGAGGCCCCAGAGAAGCCTGGAGCAGTACCCATGAAGGGACAGTAGGGGGGTTCACAAGCCAGAGGCTTCTCAGTGCCCAATTCAGCCCACTTACCCAGACCACATTTGCCACAGATGAGGATCTCATTCAATGGCCCCGACGTCTTTCCCAGGCAGATGTTGCACTTGGGCTCTTCACCTGGAACACCAGCTGAAAGAGAGGCCCTTAGGGTCAGGTCTGGCTCAAGGATATTAATAAGAGTTTTAATTTTACATTAGATACTGATCTGCCCCTGGACCCAACTGCTGCCCCATCAAACCTCTCCACCCACATGGGGCGCTATTATCATTACCCCATTGTAAAGGTTGGGAAATTGAGGCTCAGAGAGGTGAGGCTCTTCCAGCTAGTGGGTAGAAGAGGTGGAAGTCAAACCTGTAGTTGTTTGACCTCAAATCCTTTGTTCCTTTGGCCTTATCATGCTGCCTCTCTTGCCTAATTTAACTTGGTTTTGTTAAAACAGACTTTTTATGTTAAGTATTTTTAAGTTTATTATGTAAAAGGTAAAAGTTATATAATAGTTGTTATTGTTAAGTGTCAAGCTGGTTCCAACTCAGAGACCCTGTAATAGGGTTTCCCAGGAGCAGCTGGTGAGTTTGAACCATCAACCTTGCAATTCAGACTGACCTTGCAATCTAGTGCTTATTCTACAGCACCACATATAACAGTGTACAGAATATTATGACACCTCACGTTCTCCTCAATAATTATGAATTCATGACCAATCTTATTCTAATTATATTCCCACCCACTCACTGTTCCACCCGTGTTACTTTTCATCAAGTCCCAGTTATCCAACAATTTTTCTATAGAAAATGAAAAATTGATATACTTTTCTGTAACTTATCTTTGTAAGATCAAGGTTTTTTAAAAAAATAATAATTACAGCACCTTTATTATACTTAAGTTTTAACAATTTTTTCTATTTTAAAAATATTTTTTGTTTTGGAAAGATACATAGCAAAACATATCCTAATTCAATAATTCTACATGTATAAGTCAGTGACACTGATGACATTCTGCAAATTCTGTGACCATTCTTACCCCCCTTTTCAAATGGTTCCTCTCCATTAACATAAATCATCTGCCCCTAGGTTTCCTAATTGCTGTCAGTTTGAGCTCATATATAGTTCACTAAAAGAGCACTGTATTTACTCTTTACTTACTAAACTGTTGCCTGGTTTGATGAACACTTTGTTGGCAGTGGAGTCAATTCTGACTCACAGTGATTTTATATAGGGTTTCTGAGGCTGCAAATCGTTATGGGAGCATAAAGCCTCATCTCTCTGCTGCAGAACTGCTGGTACTTTTGAACTGCTGACTGTGAGATTAGCATCCTGACTTGTAACCACTACGCTACCAGAGCGTCTTTAGGGAATATATTTTTTTATTTAAATTGTAAAGAATATCTTAGGGTAATAGTTTTAAGGGTTCAGCCAGTCTCAATGGCTCCAGAAAGTCTGGATTCCATGAGAATTTTAAATTGTCCCACATTAACAATAATTTTTTAAATAAAAAAAAAAAAACCTACTTGAGTTCACATTTACAATTGTCTAAGTATCATAATATTAATAATTTGTTCTTTTGAATCAAAATCAGCTAAAAGTCCACATACGGTGAATGGTTGACTATTTCATAAATAGCTTTTAACCTACAGTTAAAAAGTGATTAGCCCCTCTGTTTCCCTCTACCTCTCTTTTTCCCTTTTTTGCATGGTTACATTTTGTTGTATGTTTATCTTGTTTTCCCTAGTTGTTGTTAAGTGCCGTCGAGTCGATTCCGATCCATAGCAACCCTGTACAGGGATTCCGAGGCTATAAATCTTTACAGGAGCGGAAAGCCTCATCTTTCTCCCACGGAACAGCTGGTAGTTTCAAACTACTGACCTTCCGGTTTGCAGCCCGATTCGTAACCACTATGCTACCAGAGCTCCTTGTTTACCTTAGCAGACTGAGTTTATTTGTAAGGCAAGAAATGGCATTTCTCCATTCTCTGTGGTACATACAAGTACTCAAGAGATGTTTGTTGAATACATAGCCAGGCAGGGACCTCGGCTCTTATTCCTGAATATGCCTACAGGAAGGTGGGGCCCACAGAAGGTCTTAGTAGGTCCTCACTAGCTTAATGAAGTGATGGATCATTTACTGCAGTGAACCCAGCCTTATGTTCTCTTCTTGGGAAAAGCCAGAGGAGTCCCTGTCCTGCCCATAAGGAGCAAGCATCTGGCAGTGGAGATGAGTCATTCTCAGCTGAGCAGCACCTCCACAGTGCCAGACACACAGGGAGCCTTCTACACAAGGTCTGCTAAGGCATACTGTCTTTGTTCTCCAGCTGGTCCCTTATGCTTTCTATAAGATGGTAACCCAGAAGAGGTCATTAATCTTTATTGCTTTGGATCTTTATATGATAAATTTGGGGTGAGAAAAGTAGGGGAACGAGTCCTCCTGTATTGCCCAGAGCCTTTCTGGAGAATGGGCAGTTTGGGAACTCTACTTACTGGCTCTGCTATTCATAAGGTTTTTGGTGACTAAATATTCGGGAGTAGTTCGTCTCTCCTTCTTCCTAGTCTGTCTTCATCTGGAAGCTCATCTGAAACCTGTCTACCATGGGTGACCCTGCTGGTATTTAAAATACACGTGGCATAGCTTCCAGAATCACAACAACTCAAAAGCCGCCACAGTACGACAAACTGACAGATGAGTGGTTAGTGAGGTTGGCCAGGATCAGGCAGTGTTTCGTTCAGCTGTGCATAGGGTCAGTACCAACTCAATGGCACCTAACAACAACAACTCACTGGCTGGTTCTGTGGCCTCTATATTGTGAAGGCTCTGTGGAATCTATCCCTTAGGATAACACATTCTAAAGAAACTGCCCCTGCTGTACCTTACATCTTTGGGGAACAGCGTTACTCCAATTGATAATGACAGCATTGAACTAAGTACTTTATATGGATGATCTCATTTAAGCCTCACATCTACTTTGTGAGGCCGCGAAGCCATTGAAGAAGCTGAGACCCAGACAAGTTTCATCACCTAGCCAAAGATATATAGCTAGTATTTGGCAGAATTAGAATTTGGTCCACGGTCTCTCTAAAACCTTGCCTCTTCTTTCCATACTACTGTGTAAGTGGCAAACATTTCTTCTCTCATGCCAACTCTGATTGTTGGTGTTGCTGTTAGGTGCCATGGAGTCAATTTTGACTCATAATGACCCCATGTGGCAGAGCAGAGCTGCCCCATAGGGTTTTCTAGGAGTCCTGATGTGTCGCTGTGGGCTAATACGTTAGACTGCAAGGTCAGTGGTTCAATCTCACCAGCTGCTCCTTGGAAACCCTATACAGGGTCGCTGTGGGTCGAAATCGACTCAACGGCACTTAACAATAACAATCTTTACAGGAACAGATCACCACAGTTTTCACTGGAAAGACCAACAACCTTTCAGTTAACAATTGATCTCTTAACCACTGTCCCACCAGGGCTATTTGATTGCACTATGAGTGTTTTGCCTGATTAATGAGTCCTGGTGTGGCACTGTGGGTTAATGCACTGGCCTGCAAGGTCCATTTGAATTGCAAGGCGGATGGTTCAAGCTCACCAGCCACTCCTTGGAAACCCTATACAGGGTCACTATGGGTCGGAACCGACCAAGGCACTTAACAATAACAACATATGCATGGGAAGGAAGAATTGTGGCCAAGAATGCTTTCAATTTACCTTGTGGTCAGCATTCAAACCCAGTCTCTCCATGGGAGAAAGATGAACTGTCTGTTTCCACTGACTCGATGGCAGTGATTTGGTTTTTTGGTTTTGGTTAGAGTGTATTAGTTCTCTGAGGACAGGATGGGATCTGATTCCATTCTGATTCCCCCACAGGGCCCTGAACATGTCAAGTACCTAAGTCTGTTTGTTGCATAAACATCGGCTAGGGTAGGAATGGTCTATATGAGTAATGAAGACTGTCAGAAGTCCTGGCATCCAAGGTACAGATCCAACCAACCCTGAACACAGCTCCACTTCCATCTCAGGCCCATCTGTCATCATGCTGCCTGTTCCATCTCTGCTTCTTTGGTCTTTCCCTAATCCCAAACTCCTTGTTCCACTGCCAGAGCTTCCTCCAGCAGTCTTCTTCACATGTTGCTAGGGAACACTGGGCTCACATCTAGAAGTAACACATCTGATTGCCTGTGCCCTTCCCCACTAGTAGCCCCTAACTGACTCAGAGCGTTGTGCAGTAGATCAAATACAGCAAAGAAGTAAACACAGGCCTGAGACCCAATCCTAGCTCTCCTGCACTAACTCAAGCCACTTATCCCATCTGTCCTGGTCTCCTGCATGAGGTTATGAGTACTCAAAAAAAGAACAGCTTTTTACATAAATGCACAATTGGTAATAGGATTGTCATTTTAGGTGGGCTTAAGGGTCCAGGGACAAGGCCAGGTACCAAGAGCAAGAAGAAATAGAAGGAGGAGAAAATGTAGGTCATAAGAAAAATGGACTAAGGAGGACATGGATACTCAAAATCTTAGGGACACTCACCATGCTGTATGTCCTTCCACAGGACCCAGAATTTGGAATTATCTTCAAAGGTCACAAGGCAGCTTTGCTTAGAACTGCTGACCTGGGGCACAGAAAGGGGGTTGCAATGTTAAGAAAGTAGCTGGGAAAAAAACCAGACTGCAACAGCAACTTCCACAGAGGGTAGAAGGATTAGACCCACTCCTTATGTTCTAGAAAGTAGAGCACTCCTACAAGGAGAAGGAGTGTGGCAGTTCCTAGAGGAAGTGTGCTCTGAGTTCCTGGAAATGGACAGAGACAACCTTGTGGGTATGGTGAGAGCAGAACAAGCCAGGTGGTCATTGGTGCTCCTCTCTAACCTGTTTATTTACATAGGCTCAAGGATAATATGGCACCAAGGATGACGTCTGCATAACCTAGCTCTGGCTACTTCAACTCTCAACTTCTGGATATGAGGGACAAGAAAGGAATCTCCCCCCAGCACTTGAACCGAGAGCTGGGCCAGCAAATGAGAAGACAGATGCTGAGCCAGGGAGGTCATGTTTACCCTCTTGATCTTCCCAAGGTAATACAGTCCATCTGTCCATCGGCACAACACATACTGGCCCTCTGTCAGCTTGGACATCAGGTCTTTGAAGTTGTTCCTGGCTTTCTCCAGGGCCCCCTTGTTGGGGAGATGGCTGACGGCACCATAGGAGTCCCGAGTTCCTGGATCCAGAGCTCGATTCTCCATCGGCTTCCACTGACACTGGAAGAACAAAGAGACAAGGTTTTGATTCCTTTGCTTTCAGCTTCAGAAGACCCACTGGGGGAAAGAAGGAAACGAACACATATGCAACCTTGCGATGTATCAGACACATTTATTATCTCACTGAAGCCTCGTGATGTGACATTTGGGAAGCAGACTTCATTATCCCCATTTTATAGATGGAAAACTAAAATTTGCAAGGGGAAGGGGCTTGTGGTCAAAGGCAAAGCCATGGTTCATAATCAGGTAAGCTGATGATGTAAGTATGATGTTGCTCTCTTCTCACCCATATTATACCTGCTGCCTTTGAGGTGATTCCAACTCATAGGGAGTGTACAGGACGGAGAAAAATTGCCCCAAAGGGTTTCCAAGTCTTTATGGAACTAGACTGCTACATCTTTCTCTCGTGGAGTGGCTGGTGGGTTCAAACTGCTAACCTTCCAGTTAGCAGTCAAGCACTTTTACCAGTGCATCACCAGGGCTCCTTCTACCCAAACCATGCTGCTTCCTACATGGGAACAAATCTCAGCCAACACAGAGCAAAGACTCCCTGTCTAGGGGCCTGCAGTACATTCCTGGGTTGAAGAGCCTGAGGCTTTATCCTTTAAGCAAACACACTTCCTGTTCTCTGGGTGAAAGGCCCTCTCCATCTGCCTCACATCCCACCCTGAGATCTAATCAGGGAAAACTCACCTTGCATTGGTGTGGACTTGGCCATCTGTGTCTTTGGTTAAGTCCTCTTTCTGTTCTCAATTATGGGATGATTTAATGGAAACCAATTCTGGGGCATTTAAACCCACTTACACTTTCACCCAGATACAAATGTGTTCCATGCCACCCTTTCCACTTCTGTCTTTCACCATACTATAAACGGTGCTGCTCCCCCATAGATTTCTCGTTTCCTGCTAATGGTACTACTTTGGGTCCCCAGAACTCTGAGGCATCTCAGACTTCTCTATTGTGACCAATTTCACCCTGACACAGTGGCTTCTGACATCCATCCCCTCTTTACAGTCCCTCTGAGCTGATCCAAGTTCAAACCTCACCTTTTGCCAGGCCATTCATTCCTCCAATAGCTGCTTCCTTAGCCTTGTGCTCACCTATGCTAGATACCTAGGATGGGTGGTCTATCACCCATCACAGAGCCTACTGTAAACCAAGCCACTCCCTGTTTTTCTGCCTCCCCACCAGATTCTTCCAAAGGCCACCAATTCCCATTTTCTTAAATCTTCCTTCCAGAAAACCTTTTGGTGACTCTCTTCCAATGCCTTCTGAGCAAGGTCCAAATGCTTTTATCTGGCTTTCAAAGCCCTCCTTCACCACCTCGGCTCTCTGGACTCACCTGGCTCCACACCCCTCCACACACACACTCCATTTCAACCAAACACAGCTTTGCTCTGTTTCCTGCACCGGTTACACTGACGCCCTCCATCTCTCAGCCATGGCTAGGCACCTGGTGCTGTAATACGTAGACTGGGAGAGTCCTGTGTGTTTCCGTTTTGAGTATATGTGTACCCATGTGAGAATGCACATGATGAGCCAGTGAGCATATTAAACGAATAAACATGTGTACAATGAATTTGAGTTTGTGCATATGAGAGTGTATTCGTGACTGAGAAAGAGGGGCCCTGGGGCTAGCAGGGCACTGTTAGAGGATTCGGTCCCTAGACGATGGTGCAATCCCATCTCCACCCCACCCCCACTCCCATTTCTCTAGGGTGGAGGGCAAAAGCACTGGGAATCCCTGCTCTCCTCTGCCACCTGGCTACTTGGGCGCTGCGACGCTCCAATCTGCTGGGCCCCGGGCCACAACAGGTTCACAAACTGACATCGAGAGGCTGGGAACGAGTCCCGCCACCGCGCCTCCCACGGAAGGCGGGGGCCCCTGGGTGGCGGCCCACACCCCCGCCTCCATCTCCAGAAGCGGGCCCCCGTGGACTGTGATTGGCTGATTCAAACCCATCGGCAAAGAAATGCCTGTTTTGCGGGTTCCCGTCCGCGTCCAGTTCAAATCCTCAGCACGGGAGCGCGGGGCCAGGCGGGGGCAGGAAGCGAGGATGATTCATGCACCGGGGCCTCTCCCGGGGCGGCCGTTGGCTTTTTTTTTTTTTTTTAAAAAGGGTGTTCAGGGGGAAAAAAAAGGAGAAAGTTTGCAGAATTGTCCCTTTGGGTTTCATATGTTCATCTCCCCTGATCGCTTCGACGCCAAATCTCGTTCCCCCACCCCAGTCCTGCCACAGCCCAACTTTGGACGTGAGCAAAATCTCAAACGCCCCAGCCAGCCTCCCCGCAAAACAGGAAAATGAAAGACTTAGGGTAAGGGACTAGACCTGTCACCATGTTCCCAACAGGCTCAGAGCACCCGGGACCCCTGGAGTTCCTGCCGTCCTGCGGGCACTGTTCTCCCATCCCCCAGGCGCACAGGTCGGCAGGACTCCAATCCCGGGAGACGCTGGATCCGCCAAAGTTCAATAAAATTTCCAAAAGAGAAATGTATAGAGGGAAAGAAGAGAGTGGCGGGGAGCCCCCCAAGCTGGCCGGCCGCCCGCAGCGCGGAACTTACCGCTAGGCTGCGTGTCCGCCGGTCCCACTTGGAGTCTGGCCACCAGGAGCATCGGAGGAAGAAGCGGCTGCGCCTGTGGCTGGCTGGCCGAGTGTCCGCCCGTGGGGCCAGGGTCGGGGTCTTGGTGGGGGCGGGGCGGGGCGGGGGCGCCGCGGGGAGGACCGGGGGAGGAGGAGAAGGGAGGGGCCGGGGCACTCAGGAAGGGGCCCCCTGGGCGCGGGGCGCCATCTTTTTCGCGTTTTCCCGCGAATTATTGACGTCCCGCTTATGTAATTAGCTGGGGCCGCGCTGGCCTCGCCATTGGAGCTGGCGGCCCCTGGGCGCTGTAGCGCCTCTTGCGCCCGCCTCCGCGCTGCGCCCGGGTCCCCGCCCGCCACGGGTGCGCTTCCTCGGCGGCCACTGCGAGCCAAGTGCCGACACGCGGCATGGACACACATGGACGAGCAGCTTACGGCACGACACGGTCACTCCGTGGAGGCACAGCAGGAACACTCAGACCTGCGACTCCATGCACAAGGCACTGAGAAGAGGCTCACACACTTGTTGAGAAGCCACCCAGAGAACTGCGCCAAGCGCCTAGATACTCATACAACTGGTACAGACATTAGGGGGCGGGGGAGGAGGGATGTAGGCACTTGGCGCGGACACACACGACTCGTACACAGCACACAGACCCAGGACAACCCAAAAGGGCGGACACACTCTACACTTAACAGCATAGACACAGCATCAGTGACATATAGAAACAGACACAATACACAGCACAAACACCGGTTCACAACATACCACATATACAACACAAATACAATAATAAAGGGAATATTACTGTATACCCATGGCACAGACATAGCTACATACAAAGAGACTGTGCATAGCATAGACCCAACTATGCAAACATTATAGACATAGAGCCGCAACATGGTAACACAGTCACAGAAAAACACAGACACAATGCACAGAAACACAACACAAGGATACAACTGCAAACATATACAACACAATAAAAATATGTTGTTGTTAAAGTGCCATCGAGCCAATTCGGATTCATAGTGACCCTGTATAAGGTATCCTCAACGAATGGCTGGTGAGCTTGAACCGCTGACCTTGTGGTTCAAAGAGTGGCCCACAAAAGATACAACATAGTACATTGAAGCAGTGGGTTTGGGCTCCATTCAGATAAAGCCTCTGACCCAGAGGAAAAAAGGAAGACAGGTTCCCACTGGTGGAAAAAAAAATTCTTACCAACAACCTCTCACCCATACCCTTTGCCTCCCTCTTCAGCTTCTTCTACACTTAACTACTATCAAATTCTCCAGACACCCCCACAAGACTCAAGGAGGGTTTACTTTTCCACAGTGTGGCTGGTGGGCAACACCTCTCCACAGAGCCTTCCCTGTTCAATGTCAAGTTACCTACCATTGGTCCTCTGGGTCCTGGCCTTGAAGTGTGGTATCTCCAATCTGTAACCCCCTCAGTCCCCCTTCCTTAGTTTTCCAGCTGTGAAATCCAGGAGCCCTCTCACTTCTTCCCGTATTGCCTATTCAACGGGTCCTCCAGTCAAAGCTGAACATACAGTTTGAGAACCTGCATTTTCTCTGCTTGGGCTCCAAAAGAAAGCTGTGGAGCAAGTCTGCCAGGGAGGGTCTCCCACTGCAGAGAACAAATTAAGTTCCAAAGGGGACTGAAAGAGGTGCTATCTGTCCACATTCTATGAAGAGAACATGTGTCCCTCTATTGGCTTCTGAGGCAGGCTTGTTATATAGTCGACTCTAACTTAGCGACTCTGTATAGGGCTTCCAAGGAGCAACTGGTGGGTTTGAACCGCTAACCTTGTAGTTCAAACTGACCTTGCTGTCCAGTGTTTATCCTGCAGTACTGCACCAGAACTCTAGGATGTATTGTTGTGATTGTTAAGTGCTGATGAGTCAGTTTCTGCCCACAGTGACCCTATATAGGGTTTCCAAGAAGCGGCTGGTGAGCTTGCAGTTCAAACAGACTTTGCATTCTGGCACATTAACCCACAGTGCCACATCAGGACTCCCAAGGATGTATAGGGCAGAGATTATAGTGTGAAAGGCCAGGTTCAAACACCAGTGCCAGTGATTACTGACCTTAGAATCCTGATCATCGACTCTTAAGCCTTAGTTTCTTTTCAGTAGGGTTGCCGCTGCTGCTGCTGCTGCTGTGTGCCACGGAGTCAGTTCCGACTCATAGTGACCCTGTACAGGGTTTCCGAGGCTGTAAACCTTTATGGGAGCAGAACACCTCATCTTTCTCCTGCAGAACAGCTGGTAGTTTCGAACTGCTGACCTTGTGGTTCGCAGCCGGATTTGTAACCACTACGCTATCAGAGCTCCTTAGAGGGTTAATGTATGCAAAACCCTTGATGCCCAGAGGGTACAAAGCAAGTGAGTATTGTCATTTCCAGCTGTCATTTCCTTCTGACTTTATCAATAAATTTTATATTCATGGATTGAACTCCCTGTGTGGCAGGACAAAAAGTAGGAGTTGTAGGTTACACAGATGAGCAGAAGACAAGGGCCCCAAAGTCTCAAGAGGGATTCAGGTGCTGGCACAACCAGTGACAACTCACATATATCAACAGTAGAATCTGGGTTTGTGCCAGGTTTTGGATTTGGAGAGTTCTGACTTCAAGTCCAGCCCTGCCTCTGAGCCAGTGTAGAAGCTTGGATGAGCTCATTCCTCTTAGGCCTCCTTACTTTATCTGTTCAGAGGAGGGAAATCATATTACCTTCCTCACAGGGCTGTGGCATAGACAAAGGTTAAGATAGGTTAATAAAGGAGCCGTTACTTTGTAAATTAAAAAGTGGTAAGTGTGGCAATAGTAGTGAGGTTGGCCCAGAATGGGGCAGTGTTTCATTCTGCTGTGCATAGGTCGCTATGGGTCGGTGCTGACATCTAACAATAACAACCACAACAAGCAAACTGAGAACTGTTAAAACACTACGAAGCAGGAAATTATTCAGGCCACAAGAAAGAGTGTCACCAGTGATTGTTCAAAGGAGGGAACTTTAACTTAGAATTGAGGTGAAAGCATAAGTTTTATGGGAAAAGTAAATTTGAGTAGGATGTGGAGATGACAGAGTCACGCATTTCAGGTGAAGGGAGTGGTTTGTGCATTGCTGGGGTTATGACAATTGTGTTTTGGGGGGCTGGGATTCAGGTGTGTGGAGGGAAGCAGAAGCAGGTTAAAATTGGAAAATAAGTTAGAACTGGGTTTGAATTTCAGCCCAGAGGCAAGCCAGGGCCACAGAGCAGAGCATGGTTCTAAATTGTGCATGACTTGTTCTAGAGAGACTTCTGAGAGAAGTCTAGACCAGAGTTGTGCCATGATCCAAATGTGCTTTGGGAAGATGGATGTCGAGGAGTTGAAAGTGTGAACAAGAAAAGAAAGACAAATGATCCAATGGGGGGGAAAAAATGTTTTAAAGCTATCAACAGGCAATTCACAGAAACAAAAATCTAAGTGGTTTCATAAAAATATGTTCAACTTCACTGCTTATGTGAGAGATGCAAATGAAAGCATCTGTGAAACCTCATTTCACATCCACCAGACTGACCAAGAGTAGAAAGTCTGTCAGTATCAGGGAGGGTGAAGATGTGGCACCAATGGAACTTTCATATGCCACTGATCCAGATGTAAATTGATACTACTTTAGGAGAACAGTTCGGCAATGTCTAATAAAGTTGAAGATGCTCATGTTTATAATTAACCGCACATATAATTGCAAAGAAATTGGAAAATGATAAATTATCCATTAATAGCATCCAAAAAGATAAATGATGATACATTTATATAATGGATTAATATGGTAAGTGTCCGTCGAGTCAGTTCTGACTCATAGCAACCCTTTATAGGGTTTCCAAGGAACACTGGTGGGTTTGAACTTCCGACCTTGTGGCTAACAGTCCAGTGCTTATCTTACAGTGCCACACCAGGACACCATGGATTACTATGCTATTGTTAAGTGCTATTAAGTCAGTTGGTTCCAACTCACAGCAACCCTGTATAGGATTTCCGAGACGTTTTAAATCTTTGTGGGAGCAGAAAACCTCACCTTTGTCCTGTGGAGGTGTTGGCAGGCTCAAACCATGGACCTTCTGGTTCACAGTCCATTGTTTATAGTGGGGGGAAAAAATAAGCTATAAGCATCAACATTGGTACAGTCTAGAAAGAACTACCATCAAGATGTAGAATTGATACAATGTGAAATAGTAAACAAAAACCCTAAAACATTCAAACCATATATTTGTTAATGCATTTGGCCAGGTAGTAAAAGTATTAAAACATTCATGGGAGTGAAAAACACCTCATTTAGAATAGCAACTCCCTCTGGGAAGGGAAAAGCAGAAATGAGATCAGAAAAGGATACATACAGAAGGGGTTTAATTATATCTACAATATTTTATTTATTGATTGATTTTTAATGTTTTATTGTGAATTATATGATAGTTTACATGGGAGAACATTAGTTTTACATTCATCCTATCGTATGTTTCATTGCCATGGTTACAATCCCCTCCATGCATCATCAACCAACCAAAGGGTACATCCTACAATCCTGCCCTGCCTCACACGCACTCCCCAACCCCCTCGCCACCACCACCACCCCCAGTCAGCAAACAGACCCTCTAGCTCTCTGGGTCTAAAGTCCCCAGCTGCTCCATCTCTCCACGTCATCATCTCTGCCTCCATCTCAGGCATCACTGCTTCTCTGGCTGGGTAGGGTCCTGTTCTCCGCTCTTCTCCCTTCATGGTCCCAGGGACCGCCACTCCTAGACTGCAATACAATATTTTATTTTTGTAAAAATAAAGTAATTTCCTATCACATAATTAACAATATAATATTTAAAATAAATAAAACAATTTGAAGCAAATATGGCAAAATGTTAAGATTTGACAAAGTCGGTTGGCTGATTCATAATTGTTCTCCCTTATCCTTCTCTTTCCCAATTTTATATATTTTTCTTCACATTCTGCAT